AAAAAAAAAAAAAAAAAACAGTAAGTCTAGTGCTATCACTAACAGTAGCAAAAACCACCTAAAGAAATGCAAATTCTAGCCAGGCCTGGTGGCTTAGGCCTGTGATTCCAGCACTTGGGAAGCAGAGGCAGGAGGCTTAGCTGCAAGTTTAAGGCCAGCCTGAACTATATAAGAAGACCCTGTCTGGAAGGAAGGAAGGAAGGAAGGAAGGAAGGAAGGAAGGAAGGAAGGAAGGAAGGAGGGAGAAAGAAATGCAAGTTCTATTGCAGGCAGTAGGTGTCCTGCACATGGACAAATTTCTTTGCATTCTGCTAATGCTGGTATGTTACATTTGTTACATACTAAAAACAGCAAATGTAGTAGAAACAGTTCAAAATCCAGGGTCGCTTCTTAATAATAAACACTGGGTTTTTATCTGTGATCATGAATAACCTAAGCGCTCCTGGCATTAAAAACTACATTTCCCAGCCTCCCTTGCAGTTGGCCAGGCAATTTATTAGCCAATGAAATGGGGGCAAATTGTGACTTTCAGGAAATATTCAAGGGAAAAGTGGGGAACCTGTCTTTATCCTTCTTTTTCCTTGCTAGTGACACTGCTGAACTTCACTGAGCCCTATGATCCCAGAAAATTGGTTAGGAACCCTGCCCTAACCTCTGTTTAGTGTAAAAAAAAAAAAAAAAAAAAATCGCCTTTACCCACAGGGCTTGGATAAAACTCATGGTCCATGCCAGATACAGGCGAAACACAGACGACCAATGCCTACCCTTGTCTTATAAATGTGCAGCTAAGATGCTTGTCCCACTGACTAATCAGAATGAAATGCTTGTTAACCGAACTGGTCAAGCTTCTTCCTCGTTCCAGGTCTTTGAACTTTGGACCATCCCTGGCCAGAGCTAGCAGGCAGCCCCTCCTGCTGCCTCAGGGAATACACATCCGGGGTCTACCAGCCCCAGGCATTCCTCACTGCAGTCTTCAAACCCTTTCTAACCTTGTTTACTCCTCCCGGAGTAAAAAAAAGAGTGAAAAACAAAACCCCCCTCCGCCCCACCGAGGAGAGGACTGTGGTTCCGCAGTCAGAGCATTCTCCGGCTGCAGTACCAGCAGTGCCCTGATCTGTGGTTTCACTTTTCAAGGTTTCAGTTATTCTTGGTCAACCACGGTACAAAAACACTACACGGAAAGTTCCAAAAATAAACAATTCATTAGTTTTAACTTGTGTGCCGCTCTGAGTAGCACAGTGAAATCTTGTACCACCCGACTCCCTCCTGCCTGGGCGTGTGCCATCCCTTTCTTGGTCCAGCGTGTCCACACTGTATGTGACCAGGCTCTCAGTCACTCAGCAGCCATGAAGGTTATTGGATCAGCAATGGTCGTATGGCAGTGATTATGTTCAAGTAACTTTACTTAATAGTAGCCCTAAAGGACACAGCAGCGACGCTGGGGTCTGATATACCAAAAAAAAGCCAGGAAGTACTGCCTATAGAGAGGCTGTGCTAGCTGCAGTTTCAGGCACCTACTGGGTGTTCGGGACCTCTCCCCGGACAGGGGGGCAGCACTACTGTGGTTCCCCTCCCCCTATCACGAGTACCTTTCCATGCCTTAAAACAACTCTCTTTACCGAGTCATGATTTACTTTTTATTTGACCCTGGCTAGAACATGGTGTGATGGGTAGAGCTGCCTTCACCGCTGGGGAGTAGGGGATAAAGGGTAGAGCTGCCCTCGCCATTGTGGAGTAGGGAGCGGCAGGAGGAAGTGAGCTAAAAGGAGCTAAGCTTGTACTGACTTTGTCATGCTATCAGCCAAGAACTCCGGCTTCCAAACCGAATTCATGCTGAGAAAATAACCCCTCTGTTATTTATGATTCTGTAACTTGAGGTCATCCATCCCATAAATCCTTTCCTAATCCTCACTGCCACAGCAGTCGGGGGAAAGCTCGCCACAGGAGGCCAGGTCCCAGCACTGAGATGGTGACGTGTGGTCCAGGTTTTTCACTACTACTCTTGGGGTGGCTGCTTCTCCCACACTTGAGGTGACACCTGGTGCTCAACCAGATTACATGGGAGAGCACCAAAAGAAAATCTCTGGGTGTCTTTTTCACCTGCCCTAAAATGCCACTGAAGGTATTCCAGAACATTAGCCTGGAAAAGACCTTGAAGATCATCTTATCCTGGGTCCTTTACAGCGTTGACAGAGCTACTGTGACCCAGGGATGCCAAGAGGACGAAGAACCTGTCAGGACACAGCAAGAGCTGAGCTAGGTCTCCGGACACCCACGGCCTGACAATTTCACTTAGGGTGCTACTGCGACAGCTGAAGGAACAGCCAAAGTCACCGAGCTGCAGCTCATCTTCAAGGGACAGAGAGATCAAGGAGTACGACACTAGGGGGAAAGTGAACCCTTCTGAAATTTCAGCCACAAGAAAAGGCTGGACCTGCTCCCACCGCAGCTGGGAGATGCTAACAGGCCAACAAGGTCTACAGAGAGAAAAACGAGCACGTGCTGGGTGACATTACCTCAGCTTCGCCGCTGTCTGGAGGAAGGCAGACATGAGTGATGTTCAGACCAGCCTGAAAGGGAACACAAGGCCACCTGTCACTATCAGAGAATATACTGTTAGGAATTACAAAGCATTTGTAAAAGTCAGCAGTTCTCACCTCTTCAGCCAGATTCTGGTTTATTTCCTGCATTAGGTTTTCATCACCTGCCTTAGAGGAAAGGAGAAACAGGAAGAATGTAACAACATGGACATGTCTTAAAAAGCATGAAATATTACACAGGGACTAAGTTTTGCGATTATTAACTATCTAATTACAAAGATGATAAGGAAAATGTGGAAAACGAATCTTACTGCTTATAAAAAAGGGATTAATAGTTGATATAAAACGAACATTAAGGGTCAGGGATATAGCTCAGAGGCACAAGCATCTGCCTGGCAAGAGCAAGGTCCTGAGTTTGATTCCCGGTACCAAAAAAACAAAACAAAAAAAACACATTAATTTCAAAGTATGTCACCTTTTAAAAAATAGCACTCCACATTTAAAAAACACTCCCAGCCAAGTGTGATGGTGTGCACCTGTAATCCTAGCTCTACAGGAACCTGAGGCAAGAGGATCACAAGTTCAAGCTCAGCTTGGGCAATTTAGTAATACAGAAAGACCCTTTCTCAAAATTTTAAAAAAGCGGTGGGGATGCAGCTCAGTGCTAAGACATGGGTTCACTCCTCAGTACTAAAACAAAAAACATCATCACATAGCCAACACCCCTGTCTGTGTGAGAACACGAAAGACAGAGGTATAAACAGCTTGCCCTTACGTGCTAGGTCAAAGAGCGAGCAGATTCTTCCCAAGAAACCCCCGCTGCTAATTCAGTTCGCCTCCCCTGTCTAACTGGTCCTTCTCTGTACAGAGATGTGTATCACACCCCAAGGAGTGTAAGCAACACGAGCACAGCTCTACAAGCACGAAACCCAGGGCCCCGATGGGTGCAGAGGCTCCGGGTCTGATATGCTGAAGGCATGCCAAGCACCGCTGTAGCAATCCAACTGCCGGGCTGCCAGCCTCCGCGCTTGGCTCACCTCCTCACTTCTCTGCACCTGCCGCCACACGGATGCCAATAACAAGGCAACAGTGCCAACAGCAGCTCAGCACTAAAGGGCCGCAGCCAAAACATGTACACAGAATGCAAAGTCCCGACACGGCAATGCCTTTTGGCACGCAGGCTGCAAAAGATACGGTAAAACCATTACCACATGCCCATGTGTCATCTGTCTGCCCCAACAGAACCGCAGGGGAGCTTTTGCTCCTATCACCTACAAGCCGCATTTGATAAGATTTTATAAGCATACATGGGCTGCTGTATATCCTGTGTAATGTGATTTCTGTGGGCGCCTGCTTTCTGACCCCTGGGAGCCCCCAACACCTGGGAGAGGATGGCACACAGGGCCAAGATGGCCTGCAACCTTGCAGAAGCACATGACCAAAGAAAGGCAAGGGACAGCACTTCCGACTGAGCCTACTCTGCCTTAACAATAGAGCTGGCCTTTAATTTACAAGTGTTTTCTACACTGAAAATGTTCCTCAAATAGCAGGACTGCACTGGGCGTGGTGGCACACGCCTGTAATCCCAGCACTCAGGAGGCTGAGGCAGGAAGATCGGTGCGAGTTCCAGGCCAAACTGGGCTACAAAGTGAGCTCAAGATCAGCCTGCACTGCATAGCAAGACCCTGTCTCAAAAGACAAAAAATAAAATAAAATAAAATAAATAAATAGCAGGACTGCACATACTCAGCTTACCTGAATAATAGCAAGGACTGGCTTAAATGCAGGGTTTTTTTCTTGCAACAAACGGAGAACTTCTTTTGAATTCTGAATAACTTCTCTACAGAGGAAAAAAAATGCCACAGTCATTTCCTTGTTAGGGGGTAGAAAGATGGGTATAACACATTTTCTTATGTTTGGTATCAGAAGGGAAAATAATCAGACAACAAAAGGAGGTACTAGAAGTGGAGTAGGGGAGGAGAAGCAGGACAACAAGGATGTCAAATGGGACAATCCAGTGGTTAAAATATGCAGCGAGGAACACGCTGGATGGTAGCAGTGATTTTCTAGAGGGGCATTTTTCTCTTGTATTTCTGAAGTTTCCTATAATGAAAAATTTAGGTTTTTTTTTTTAAAAAACATATTCCTTCACCACACTCTCCTCAAAAAAATGAATCTGAGGTCCATGGGGAAAGAAGGCAAACACACACGGGGAGAGGGTGGTGGAGACAGGGCTAGAAGAGGGCTCTCTGTCCGGCTAGATTCCAGGTCCAGAGCTAAAGGCAGACGGTGAAGGGAGAGCAGCAGGGGAGGGAAAGGGAGGTCGTGGAAATGGGATGCAGGGGAGTTTGGCAGCACCCCAATGGCCTCCCTGGGGAAGATTTCACTGATTAAGACAACACAGTCTGCACGTCTACCTCCTACAGGCCTAGCCCTGGGCACCTTCCCCTTGGCATCCTGGAGGTAAAAGTACTTGGAGGTCAGAGCCCAGCTACTAAATCCAACAGAACCTTCTCAGGAGAAGTACAAACGGCCAGCACACAGATGAGAAAAGGTTCAACATCTCTGGCCATTAGAGAAATGCAGATTAAAACAACACTGAGGTGGGCTGGGGATTTAGCTCAGGGGCACAGCGCCTGCCTGGCAAGCTCAAGGTCGTGAGTTCGATTCCCAGTACCAGAAAAAAAACCAACAAAAACAACACTGAGATTCTATCTTCCTCCAGAAAGAACAGGCTATCATCAAGAAATCAGATAACAACACAAGCTAGTGACACTGGGAGGAGGGGGTGGGGTGGGGGACATCCTGCATGATTGTCAGTGGCAATGTAAACTAGTACAATATTATGGAAATCAGTATGGAGACTCCTCAAAAAATGAAATAAGAAATTCCATGTGACCCTGCTAGTCCCGCCCTAGGTATCTTCCCAGAAGAGTTACAGTCATCATGCGGGTGGTACATGCATCCCCAAGCTTACAGCAGCACAAGTCACAATAGCGAAGTCTTGGAACTGACTTCTATGTCCATCAACATAGAGATGAGCGGATAAGGAAAATGCGGTACACAATGGAATACTACTCTGCCATAAAGGGTGAATTTGAGTAATTTGTAGGAAAATGGATGCACCTTGAGACTGATGTTAAGTGAAATAAATCAGACATAGAAATTTCAATATCACACAGTTTTTCTCATATGAGAAATTACAAATATTTTTATTTATTGTTTGTCTTTTTGAGACAGGGTCTCGCTACGCAATTCAGGTTAGCCTTGAATTCAGGTTAGCCTCACTTTGTAGCCCAGGCTGGTCTCGAACTTGCAATGATCCTCCTACCTCAGCCTCCCCAGTGCTGGGATTATAGGTGTGCATCACCATGCCCATCTGAGAAATTACAAATAAAGAGCAAAATAAAAGATAGATAATAGGAAAAAATTAAAAAAAGACACGGAAGAGGAAAGGGAAAAAAAAGTACTCTAGCCCAGGTACACAGACCCAAATAATTATGATCAAAGGCTCTTTCTGGAGCCTTCTGGATGGGTGATTTCAGAGGCCATCTTCACCACCATCAGCCTTATGAAGTAGTCTCATTAGCACAACACAATCAAGCCCCCCTCCTCCAATAAAAAGCTCAACCAAGGCAGTACCCAACTTCCGTGTTAAGATCACTGCCAGGGAAGACTTCTACCTGCAGCGCTGGGGATTGAACTCTGGACCTCAAACATGCTAGGTAAGTGCTCTATCACTGAGCTACATCCCCAGTCCCAGTCCCCCTTTAAACATTGTTTTCAGTCTCCAGCAAGTTCTTATACACACCTAACAGTTTTCCAAAAAATGCAAGTGGGCGATCCAGCCAGGTCCATCGGCGGTTAGTCCCCAAGAGCAAAAAATCTCCCAGTTTCCAGAGAGGTAGTTGAGGACTTGAGACCAAAGGGCACTGTAGCCCCCAGCAGAAGAGGGTAAAGCACATTTAAAGGCTTCAAAACTCACACCAGGGCCAGCTTTTCTACTGTCACCTGGGCAGACTCTGTGGGCAGGCAACTGTGTAAAACCTGTAAGCAATCTGGGTTGTTTTGTTTTGGTTTTAAAAACTTGGGATAAAGTAACTTGATTCCTAGGACACTTTTATGATGTTGAATAAATGAGATCATGCAGGTAAGTTTATAAATCACCTAATAAGTGGGCACTAAAATCCACCAGTGCAGTGATGGGTGACTGAGGGCCATGTGCTGTGCTGTCTCACAGCCTCGCAGGGCCGCTAATTTGGGCCACGATGTTCTTTCTGCCTGGCCTGGGATGCCACTGGAGTATGGGTCCCAAGCAGTCCTTCGTGTGTGAATTACCTGGGAAGTTTAATAAATATGAGGGTGTCTATATCTTCCCCCAGAAAGTCAGACTCAGAATGTCAGGGTGGAACCCAGGAATGTATCTTTTTGACCGTGCATCCATGAAGTTCTGGAACAGACAGTGGAAAAAAATAGCCAGGCCTGGAACTTGGGGCTTCTGCGGACCAGTGTGGGCAATATACTTGGTCTCGATGGACCCTCACTTCCTCATATTTAAAACAGGTGTGCTCCACCTTCTTATTATTAGACATATTTTTTTCTGTAAGGCAACGCTGCCCTGGAATACTCAAAACACTCACACCGATAGCAATAATTTCCCCAGAAACATGTATATTCACCCACCTCCTAGAAAATGGAAACACTTCAATAGCTAAGTCAGCAGTAGGTAAAAAGTAATCTAACTTTTAAAACAGCTGGGGCACAGGGGGTAGAAAATGTAGGTGGATAACCTTTCTTAAAAGGTTATGTCTATTCCTGTACACTACTAATAAACTCACTGAGGAAGAAATTAGGAAAAAAAATACCATTCACAATAGCGTCAAGAAAAATGAAATACTTAGGCATTAACCTGACTTAAGGAGGGGAAAGACCTGTACAATAAAAACAACAGTACTCCGAAAAAAAAAATTGAGGAGGACATCAGAAAATGGAAAGCTACTTCCTATTCCTGGTTAAGCAGAACAAATACAGTCAAAATGGCCATACTTTCAAAACTGATATACAGACTTAATGCAATCTCAGCCAAAATTCCAGCAGCATTCTTCACAGAACTGGAGAAAAGAACCCTAAAATTCATATGGAGCCAGAAGACACCCCAAATCGAAAAAGCAGTCCTGGGTAAGAAGGGGCCAATGGGAGGCATCGGAGTCCCAGACCTGAAGTTACGTTACAAAGCTACTTCGAAAAAAAACCCAGCATGGTACTGGTACAAAAACAGACATGCAGATCAACGGAGCAGAATAAAGGATACAGAAACAACCACAAGCACATTCAACTATCTGATCTTTGACAAAGGGGTCAGAAACATCCATGGGAGGAAAGATCGCTTCTTTAATAAATGGTGTTGGGAACAGTGGTTATCCACATGCAGAAGGTTGAATCTAGACCTATATTTCTCACCAAAATCAAAACTGTATTTCCCCCTAACATCAAAATGGATCCAAGAACTAAATGTTAAAAGAAACAAGCTAATGGAAGACAGAATAGGTAAAACTCTTGAAGTCACAGGCGTAGGCAAGGACTTTTTGAACAGAACCCCGGCTGCACAGGACACAGTACTAAGAATCAACTAATGAGATCCTGTAGGAAAAAATTTTGCCATCCATTCCTCAAAGGACTCATATGTAGAATACATGTATATAGCAAGTCCAAAAACAGATCCCTCCAAATGAAAGACCTAGTCAAAAAACAGGCAAGCTGAGTGAATAGACAACTCACAGAAGTATAAATGGCCCAAAAATACAGGAAGAAATGCTCAACATCGCTGGCCACCGGAGAAACGCAAATTAAAATAACACTGGGATTCCATCTAACCCAGAAAGAATGACTGTCACCAAGAAATCAGATAATAACAAAGGCTGGCCAGGCCGGAGGGTAAAAAAGGAACCCTTCTAGATTGTTGGTGAGAATGTAAACTGGTACAATCACTTTGGGAATCAATATGCAGATTCCTCCAAAAACTGAAACTAGATATTCCATTTGACCCAGCTACCTCCCTTCTAGGTATCTTCCTGAAAGAGTCCAAGACATATTACAGGGATACGTGCCTATGCGTGTTTATAGCAGCACAATTCATAACAGCTAAATCTGAAAGTGGTCTACATGTCCATCAACAGATGAATGGATAAAGAAAATGTGGTCCTTAACACACAATAGGATATTACTGTGCCATAAAGAAAGGTAATGAGACCTCTGTATGGAAATGAATGCACCTTGAGACTATAATGTTAAGTGACAACAGGAAGTAGGGAGATAGATGTTTCTGTAAGTGAAAAGGATCAAGAGTGGGGGGAGGGGAAGAGAAGAGAGGGAAGGGATGAAAAAAAGGAAGTAAGATGTCATATGTGCACTCCCAGCTCCACACAAGAAATCTAATGTCAGTACTGCAAATATAATTTTTTAAAAAAGGAAGGAAGGGGATCAAGAGATGGGTGGAGGGGGAGGGAAGAAAGGGGAAGGAGATGAAAAAAAGGAATTAAAACGTAATTATGTACAAACACCCCACAAGGAACATAAAGGTGATGTACTACAAACATGTACTAATAAAATAGTAATTAGGGGCCGGGGATTTAGCTCAGCGGCACAGCGCCTGCCTGGCAAGTGCAACGTCGTGAGTTCAATTCCTGGTACTGGAAGAAAAACAAAAACAAAAGAAGTAATAAAAAAAGGTCATGTCACTTTTGTTGTTGCGTGTATTCACCATGTTTCTGTCACTATGTAACAATATACCCCAGTAACTTAAGTTTGGCTCACAGCTGTAACAGTTCCAGTCCAACACTGGGTACCCACTGCTTGGAGACCCTGGTAAGGGCTGCATAACACCCTGGGAGCGTGCGGCAGGGGAAAAGCACTTGCATCATGAATGAGTCAGGAAGAAGGGAACAAACCCTTCGCGGTGCCCCACTCCCCTTCAAGGGCAGCCCCCCACCCCAGCCCCCCTCAGGCCTCACCTCTCAAGGCTTCCTTACCTCCCAGCAGCACCTCCCTGTGACCCGAGCCTGTGGCCCACACAACTATGGGGGACCGTCAACCTCCAACCTGCAGCACTGGGGCTTTCACTGACTGCTGTTCTGCAGTTTTTGACCCTGGGGCTTCCTCAGTTCTATCACAGGTCAATGGAAAGCTGAGAGACAACCCGAAGCACCAGAAACCCTATCATCCCCCAAAATGATCTTCGCTGATTTGCTGACTGAAACACTGGAGGATTACGGTCTCAGGACAGCACTAGGTCGCCGTGCTTCTCAGGGAGCTCATTCGCTAACTTTTCTGATTCATGTCTGAGGATTAAGACTAACATTCTAGGCCAGTGATGGAGAACCTTTCAGAGCTTCCAGAGACACACACAGCCCGCTGAGGAGTCCTAGGCTCTTGAATGTCTACTCCAGGTGGCTTCTGCTCAAACTCGAGTCCCCCTTTCCTCAAGTCCTGGGGAGATCACTTTCAGGCCAGAGACTTCTGGTCGACCATGCACATAACTCCATCAAAAGGTATGACCAAGTTTCTTGGGGCACCGAGAATGACAAATACACTATGACTGCTACCGGGCAACAGAGACTGAGACACACAATCAAATTGAAAGATGAATATCAGTTTTCACATGAATACATGCATCCTGGGATCACCAGAGCACCATAAAGCTTATGGCAACTTCATGTAGGCGATAAGGGTAAGGTTCCCATTCTGGAGGCGAAGACTACCCCCAGCAGCCTGCGGGGGCTGTCAGCTCACACAGCCAAGGAGGGGTAAAGTCATGTTGCAAACGAGAACATCCGACTTTAGCCATAGCTCCAGAAGCACTGACTCAATGATCTTCCTTCTGGTTTCCAACTGGGGGCAGACAATTGTGCCCAGCTGCTAAGAATGCCTCTTACATTTTTCAGTGGTTAGAAAAATCAAGATAAGAAAAATATTTCAATGGCAGGTGTAAATTACATGAAATTCAAATTTCAGTGTCCATAAAAAAAGGACCAAATTTCATTAAAATGCTATGAAATTTTGTTACAAAAATACCTACCTGATATTTTTGATTTTCCCTCTTGGTCCACTAACCCTAAAATACTTATTATGCAGCCCATTACATTGAAGGTTTTACAGACCCTGGTTTAAAGTATTGTAAAAAGCCCGCAGAGGTTGGGTGTGGTGGCACATGCCTATAGTTCCACCACTCAGGAGGCTGAGGCAGGAGGATCATGTGAGTTGGAGGCCCGCTTGGGCTACAAAGTGAGTTCAAGCCCAGCCTGAACTGCATAATGAGATCCTGTCTCAAAAGGAAAAAAATTGTAAAAACAATGGACAACACTGGATGAGGCCTTAACCTGTGACAATCCCCAGGGTAGGCACTTTGTGTTTCTGTCACTGAATTGTTCTGTCTTCAGTCCATAACCTACCATGATGAGCTCAGCAGTGCTCTGGTTAAAATCCAATGACTCAAAGTAAATCCAAGGTTCTAGACAAAATAATCTTAAAAGGCTCCTTAGACTTATTAGTCACATCATGAAGAAGTTGGGAAAGTCACCAGTTATTACCAGGGAGAGGGATAAAGGGAAGGAAGGGGTGGACAGGAAAAAAGACACACGCACAGAGTGGGGTGGGACAATAATTTGGAATTAAGGCCAGAGGGAAAAGCGGAGGGAGGGGGAGCCAGTCCCAACAGCATCCTGTGCCTCGGTCCGAACTCAGAGCAAGCTGGGAAGTCTCCAGATGGGTGTGGGTGCATCGCTCTGCAGGATCTGGGGTCTCAGGAACGCGCTGCTCCACAAAGGACTTGACCAGCGCTCTTCCTCCTCGGTCTTCCACCCATAAGCGGAAGGGTGAGGACCGGAGGGACGGGGATGAGTGTGGGGGACGCAGGGCGGTCATCCCGAGGCCTCCACTGCTGGCCTCCAGGTCTAGAGAGAACCTTCCCAACGCAGGCGCGCTGGGGACTGCGTGGGCCCGCGCGGCGACACAGGAGCCGGGCCAGCCGCGTCGCTCGGCTCGCTCTGCGGATTGCGCGGGACCGCGTCCACCTCCTTTCCTCCAGGAGATGAAGTCTCCCTGAAGCCGCGAAGTCCGGGCAGCCCGGCGGCGCGCAGCCCCGCGCTCCACCTCCCGCCTCGCGCGCCGCCCCTTTCCGGGCCCCTCCGCGCGCGGTTGCATCAGAGCCGG